ACCCGAGTCGGCCGCCGGGCTCACCAGGCTGAGCAGCTCCCGCTCCTTCTCGTAGTCGCCTTTGCAGAGCAGCTGGCCCTCCTTCAGCACGAACTCGTCCCCCTTCTGGAGCTGCCGCTCGCACACGCAGCAGCAGAAGCAGCCCAGGTGGTACACGCTCTTCTGGGCCCGCATCACAAACTCGTTGGGTGCGATGGCCTCCAAGCAGCCCCCACATTTGACAGCAAACAGAGCAGCTCCCGCTCCTTCTCGTAGTCGCCTTTGCAGAGCAGCTGGCCCTCCTTCAGCACGAACTCGTCCCCCTTCTGGAGCTGCCGCTCGCACACGCAGCAGCAGAAGCAGCCCAGGTGGTACACGCTCTTCTGGGCCCGCATCACAAACTCGTTGGGTGCGATGGCCTCCAAGCAGCCCCCACATTTGACAGCAAACAGCCTGGGAGCGGGACAAAGGAGGGAGGTCTGTGACAAAGGTCCGAGGGCCCCCGTCTCCCTCACGTCAGCAGCAAAAGGAGGTTGGAGAACGGGCCGAGGAGGCCGGCACGGGAAGTCCTGGAACCCAGACGACACACAGCGGGTCCCACCACGACCACTCCCGTCCTTGTCACACTGCAGGGTGGTCTGGGAGAGGCTCTCTCTTTCCCAAATGACCTCAGGACGACCTAATTCTTTATCAAAGCCTGTGGCATAAGCAAGAGATAATGAACGTGCCCTGAAAATATCGCTGGTTCATTCCTGATGGCATCCATGTCTCTATTTCCAAAACAAAGAGTTGTTTTCTTTTTTAAGCAACTGGGAAAGAAAGCCTCTCTGTCCCTGACGCCCAAGGGTCAAGGGCGTGGAAAGGTCATCGGCTGACGAGAGAGGACACGGCAAGGCGGGTAGAACTGCCCGAGTGAGAACGCATCACTCCACGCCCCGCCTCTCTTCCCGGAGTGAAGGAAGCCAGGCTGGGGAAGGAATGGGCCACCTCCGGGACTCCTTGAAGGACAGGGCCAGCCTGCAGGCGTGTCCCGCATGGCCCGGGTCAGAAGCACAGGCCTGATGCCACCACACCGCCCTCCCTGCTCACACCTGGAGCACCTGACGGCCTCCCTCTTCCTCAAAACTTAAAGAAGGGGGTGAGGCTGGTGGACAGCCCCAGGGGCCGGTGTGGCCCCAAATACAGGCCCAGGGGCCAGCAGCCCTCCCCTCCTCCGCTGCCCGTGTGGGGTGCTGCCGGGTCTGGGCCTCTGGGCATACCCGTCCCCTGACAAGTTGCCCTGAACCCCCTCTATGCTGGGTGCTGCGTGTCAGGAGAAGAGCCACCACTTCATCCTGTCGGCCAACCTGAGCCGGCCAGTCAGTCCCTCCCGGGAGCCTCTCCTAGGCCCGTCCTCCCAAGCCCCCCGCAGGCTCCTCCCCGCTGACACTCAGGAGGCAGCAGGCCCAGGCGTCTGCAGCGCAGGTGGCCACCCCTGTGCTTGTTAGCTTCCTTCCACCCTGTGAGTCGGCCCCTCCTCCTCCTCCTGAGGGTCGTCCCCACTGCAACATCCTTCCCCACCGAGAGGGGGGTCAGGGTGGGCTCCCCAGCAGCTGGGGAAGGGGCGGGAATTGCATGGGCTCAAATCCCAGTCCTGGTCAGTGGGGAGTAGAGACGGGGACCAAAGTGAGGTCCTGTCTCCCTCCACTAGGTCCCCTCTAGGTGAAAACCAGGTCCCCCTCACCCTCGACTCTTGTCGCCCTCCCTCTCTCTGAGCAACTCAAGGAGCAATGTGCACACAGCCTGTCACGTGTGCCACATGTGTGCACAGCTGCCGGCGCCACCGAGAACACAGCTGCTGACACACACCTTGCCCTTTTCTTGAAGGCTTAGAGAAAGTCCAGGTGTCTCTCCCCAGTTTCCCAGGCCTGGCCCCCTCTGAAAGCACCTGAGGCCTTGCTGGGGCAGAGGCTGGCCTGGCTGTGCCCTGAGAGCAGGCAGGTCTCACCACGGCCAGCTCTTCTGGGCATCAGACAGCTCCTGGCTCCCCCATCACACATTCTCCTGGGAACGTGGCAGGTCAGCCCTCACCTTGCAGGGGAACGGCAGGTGGCTGGTGGGCAGGCACCAGGCAGGACCAGGAGGAACCTGTCCTCGGCTCCACAAAGGCCGCGTGGAGGAGGAGGTACCGGACAAGAGGGACCGAGGGCAGGCCAGCTCGCGGGGCAGCGGGAGGCACGCCCTCGGACAACCGCATCCTTCCCACGGGGCCAGCACGCTGCCACCCGCAGCCTCCCGCTGTCCCAGGTGCCTGGAGGACGGCAGAGAAGAGGAAGGGGCCAATTTGGGGCCAGAGCACAGGGGGCGGAGCAGGAAGACCTGGCTCCTGTCCACCCTTTACCCAGGGACCTCAGCTCTGACCTTCGATGGACCAGAGTGACATAAAAAACTTAGAGCCTGGGCGGACCTGGCGTCCATTCCCGGGGTCCCCTCACTCCACACCTGTTAACCAGAGACACCAATCGGCCAGCACCTCATCTCAGGCCCCCAGACAGTTTTGGCATGACCCACCTTGCCATGCAGTTCTCCAAACAACATCTTCCCAGAACTGTACGTTTTCACAAATACAACACAGCAAAGGCCAAAGAGATTGTGTGCAAACACACATACACACACCACCACAGCTAAACCCCCTCTCTCTGTATGTATGTGTTGGTGTGTATAAGTGTGTGTGTGTGTATATGTATGTATGTATGTGTGTGTGTGTGTGTGTGTGTGTGTATATATATATATATATATCTCCTTTTGGGGAACATGGAGGAGGAAGGAAGTACCCAGAGTGGGAGAGGGACAGGGGTGAAATGCAAGCCCGTGGGACTGTGGGAAACACATTTCCAAAAAGAATTGATCCACTGATTGATTGATGGATTGATGATTGATTTCTAGAGAAGATTCCACTTGAAGAAATCTTTAAGCGGTTGCTCCTAGGCATGTCTGAAACTCCCCAGGCTGGAAAAGTCCTTAATTTGCTCCATTTCACGCTTCATGCCTTTCTTACAGGTTTGGAATCCTGCTCTGTAGCTATGGAGACAAGAACGTTTCCAAAGCAGGGATGAAGGCTGGCACCTGAAGGACTCCTTGGGGACCAGTCTAAGGAGATCAAGAAAGAGGGGACCTTGGGGAGGACAGGAGGGCTGTCCGTGAGCTGCAGGAATAGCCGCCGGCCCGCGAGGCCAGGTGGACACGTGGCTTCCGCTGCCCGTGTGCAGTCTAGGCAGTCACTCCACATTCTGCATATCGGGTCCTTGTCATTATGACATAGCTCAGCCCCCAAATTATTTTACTTCAAAGGAAAAGAAGCTCATGGAAGACAGAAGCGAGGGGATTCATCTTTATTGAACATCGTGTGGTGCCAGGAACCGCGGCATTTCTACAGCCACGGCCACGCCCACTCCATGGGGGAAGGGCTCCACGAGAGCCCCTTTGTAAGTTCAGTCTCCCCGGGACGGGCCTCGGGGGGCTGCTCACAGGCTCTTTCCCCCCTTCTCTCCTGCGCCCCATCCGTCTGGCACTGTTTTCTCAGCAGAAATAAGTAGAAAGATCAGGCAGCTGGGGTGCGGCCACGGCTCGTGCGAGGGTTTCTGGACCGGCCCCTGGCTCTGCAGGGCGTCCGGAGATGCTGCTGCCCCTGGGGGTGATGGGCAGGAGTCAGTACCAAGCTGACCCCGTCAGGCTCTCAGCTCCTGGGCCCCAAAGTACCCTGAGGGGCCCCCGAGAGAGGCCTCTCTGCTGTGGATTTAGGTTAAGAACAAACAGTGCCTGGGAGACCCTCTCCAACCCAGCGCCACCGTGAGGCGTCTACGCTACTCCAACACGCTCAGGACCAAGCAGTTCCTGCGGGGACCCCGTCTGCTGAGAGCTTGGGGGAGCCTGTTCCCAAGGTGCAGGCAGAAATGCAGGCCAGCGGGTTGGGCCAGGAGGAGCCAGGGATGCTCAGCCACAGACACTGAGCTGTGGAGGCAGCAGGACCGGAGGCAGCATGGAGTCATCCCATCACCTTAGATCCAGGTCCCCGCCCCCTCTACCACTTAGCTCTGTGACCTGGGTCTGGTGATGGTGGTGCCAGTTCACTCACCAATAAACTGGGACCAATACAAGAACTCGCCCCACAGAGCCCCAGTCAGGATGAACTAACGCATCAAAACCACCTAGCACGGTGCTTGGCACATGCAAGCCCTCAACGAAATGGGAACCATACGATGGTGGTGAAGAGACTGGGGGAATCGGGATTAGTAAAGGAGATGGAGAGAGAGGGATGGGGCAGGCAGTTCAGGACCAAGGCCATGAGCGATGCAAGGATGTCGAGGCCAGCTTTTCGGTTGCGCTGGCTGTGGACTCGGGGTCCAGGTCCCACCTGCGGCAGTGGCCTCGGGCTAGGCATTTGTCTGGATTTACCCAACCAAGAGTTCCAGCACGCTTCCGTAAATGCCTTCTTGCTCTATCAACGTAACAACCAAGAGGCTGGCTGACTGAGCCTTCATTTTCTCCTCAGGATCAATATTCCTGACTTTTTCACCATGAATTCCCACGCCTTCCTCCACTCTCCCCCCACCTGCCCCCTTGTCCTCTAGATGCAGACACTGGAAGCCGCCATGTCATCCCCATCTCTGCCCTCCGGGCTGATGCACAGCGGCCAAGCACAGGACGGCTGCAGAACATGGCAGCCTCGTGAACACCCAGCGCCGCCCAGGGCAAGGGCTTGGAGGCCCAGGAGGACCGAGCAGGAATATAAGGGGACCCCCATCATGACACTCCAGGGTAGGTTTGCAAGCTGAGATCTTCATTAACCTGAACCCAGAATCCTGACGACATCGAAGGGGCTTCTCGAAGCCTCCACACCATGGAAAATTAAGTGGAAGAATGGAGACCAAAGTCACACAAAGTGCAACTTGAGCAGCTGGCTGTGTCCTGGTTTCACTCCGCCAAACTACATAGAGAACTGCTGTCAGCCTCGGCCAGCAAGCAGCTGCAGGCGGGGCACCATCCACCTGCACGGCCCTACCCCTTCCATCAGGGTCATTTCATTTTTTAATTGATTTTAGAAAGAGAGGAAGGGGAAGGGTTGAGGGGGAGAGAGACACGTCAATTTGTTGTTCCACTTGTTTATGCATCGTTGATTGATTCTTGTATGTGCCCTGACCAGCGATCGAAACCACAACCTTGGCCTATCAGGACGATGCTCCAACCACCTGAGCTCCTGGCCAGGGCCCATCAGGTGTATTTCTAAGTCCTGGGTTTAGGAATGTGGGAGAAAGTCTGTGTGTCCCTCTGCAATGCATGCTCCGTTTCCACCCTCTCCACCAGGGGGCAGTACAGCAGCACTCACTAATGCCATGTTGACTTGGTAACTGAGGTCATCCAGGCACCAAGACAGGCATTGGCCATAAGCCAAGACTGTCTGTCGGGTGACTCTG